CCACAACCAGGCATACCGCCAGTGCCAAGGAGCATGCCAAAAACAGTACCCCCATGTGGGTAGCCGACCACAGCCACCACTCATATGGTCCACCAACCACTGGAGTGCATTCACACAAGAAGAGTCACCAGCAGAGACAAAGAAAAGGAGGATCTCTTTCCACATAACCCATTTCAGAATAACAGAAGCATCTTCTCTATGATAATATTGGGGGACCTGATCACATCTCTCAGCACTGGACAGATCATCTAGGCAACAGGTTAACAGAGTAACCATTATTCTTTCAGAAGGAGAGAAGAAATCTAGGGCAATTAGAGGGGGGAGGGGGAGGGAATGGAGAGGTTGGACAAGGGGCATAAAGAATAACTACATAAAGAATAACAATATATATGCTAGTAATACTGATTTAATCAACATATCTCAATGTTCAACCCCCAAAATATGTGTAATCGATTTTGATTCAATAAATAAAATAAATTATTTTAAAAAAGAGAAAGAAATATGTACTATATTAGATGTACTACATTAGTAATTATGTAATATATTGGATGGTAATAAGTGTCATGGAAAAAATTCAGGGAAGGGGGATAGGGCATTGGGGGTTGTGTTTTTTTAAAAAAATTTTTAACTGACACATAATAGTTGTACATATATATAGGGTTAAATGTGATATTTGGATACATGTATATAATGTACAATGATCAAATTAAAGTAATTAGCAAGTCTATCACCTTAAACATTTGTCATTTGTGTTGGGAACATTCAACATCCTCTCTTCTAGCTATTTGAAATTATACAATAAATTGTTAACCACAGTTACCCTTCAGTGCTGTAGAACACTTAAAACTTATTCCTTCTTTCTAGCTAAATTTTTGTATCCCTTGACTAAATGCTTCCTGTCTCCCCCTTCCCCCTACTCTGTCCAGCCTCTGATAACCACTATTCTAATCTCTACTTCTATGAGATCAACTTTTTCTGCATATGTGAGAACATGTGGTCTTTTATCTTTCTGTGCCTGGCTTATTTTGCTTAAAATAATGTCCTCCAGNGGGAGCGCCGCCGCGCTTCCCAAGCGGCGCACTATCCAGTGCGCCACCGGGCCGGCCCGCTCTCCCAGCATTTTTAAAAAAATCTTTTTGATAATAGATATTCTAACTAGAGTGAGATGATATCTCATTATGGTTTTGATTTGCATTTCTCTGATGATTAGTGGTTGAGTGGTTTTTTTTCATGTACCTGTTGGCCATTTGTTTGTCTTTTTTGAGAAGTGTCTATTCAGATCATTTGCCCATTTTTAAATTGGATTATTTTTGTTGTTGTTGAGATGAATTCCTTGTATATTCTGGATATTAACCCCTTGTCAGGTGAATAGTTTGCAAATATTTTCTTGGAAGTTGTGATTTTATTTAAATGTATATTTAAAAATAATTTACTGAGGTGAAAATTCATATAACATAAAATCAATCATTTGAAGTGAACAACTCAGTGGCATTTAGTACACTGTCAAGGTGAGAATTGTGATTTTAACAGGGCTGCTAGAGAGGGCCTCCTAAAGTGACATTTGAGTCAAGACCTGAAAGAGGTGAGGGAGAGCGTTATACAGATATCTGGGGAATAGCATTGAAGCAGACGGAATAACAAGACCAAAGACCATAAGATGAGAGCGTGCCTGGTATGTAAGAGGAAATAATGAGACCTTGCAGATAGAGTGGAGTGCACTGTAAACTGAGGGTGAGCAGTGAAAGATGAGAATGTTGGATAGGCACTGAGTGTCTAGATCAGTGATGTCCAGTAGAACTTTCCACAAAGATGGAAATGTTCTGTATTTCTGTGCTGTCCAGTACAGTAGCCATTAGCCACATAGGGCTATTGAGCATTTTATGTGGCTAGTGTGGCTAAGGAAATGAATTTGTAATTTAATTTAAATTTAAATAGCCACTAGTGGCTATGATTATTGGAAGGCTCAGATTTAGATTGTGTAGGACCTTATAAGTTACTATAAAAATTTTGGTTTTTATTCTAACTGATATGAAAAAACATTGGAGGGTTTGGAGTCACTTTGGCTGCTGTGTTGAGAATAGATTGAAGGAGACAAAAG